TTATTATTATTATTATTATTATTATTATTATTATTATTATTATTATTATTATTATTATTATTATTATTATTATTATTATTATTATTATTATTATTATTATTATTATTATTATTATTATTATTATTATTAATTATTATTATTAATCAAATATTATCATTATTAGTTATTATTACCATTGATTATTATTGTTAATCATTGTTGTTAATTATTATTAATTATTATTAACTATTATTATTAGTTATTATTATTATTGTTATTATTGTCACTATATTACTGTAATTATCATCTCGCCCTCTTTGCTCCAATACAATTCAATTTTATGTACGTGACATTAGAATGTTTCAAAATGATTTCTAAATGTTATCTAGTCATGCTTGCCATATGATGGTGTTAATTGATAAAATTTCTTACCAAACAATGGTTTGCTTTCATTTTCTACAACTATTCCATTTAATTTCATCTGCTAGTGTGTCTGCTTATCTTATCGATAATTTTATGAATCATTTAAATGTCTTTTCATATTTGCAACATTTCATTACAGGTGAAAAGGTTTGTTGCGGGTTGTGTTTGTATCAAAAAGTATATGTTATAAAATACATATACTGATTTTTGAAATGAAATATTGTTTATCTCACCTTTCATCTTTGATCTTTGTTTGTTTTCATTTCCTTCAAAAGAAAAACAAATGTATGACACGAATCATCTATCCTATTTTCAATTTTTTCTTTTCTTCATCTTCAATCATCAAGACTTAATTTCTTTAATAAGAATGAAGGAACTATTATTATGCTCTTTCTCTTTATAATATTATTCTCGTTTTCCCGTGTTTTTGTGTTTTTCTCGAAAAAATTGAACATTCGGCATAGTTTATAGTTAGTAAATTAAGCAAACTTGTTTTCATGAAATTGGAATTTGATTTGTGGCTTTTTCTTTTTGCTTAACTGAATTTTATTCGAGTTAAAAAAAAAAAAAATCACTTGACATATTTCATGCTGAATGTACGACTACAACACATTTCGTGCTGTTTCTAAAATTCATTTTTTTTTTTTAAAAGAAAACTTAGATGTATCCTACTGCCATGCTATATATTTCACCGTTCCAGTTCATTATTTTATAGTTTCTTTTTTTTCATATATATACATGAAATTACGTGTGTTACATCTTCAAACCACCCAAATACAGTAATTACGGAAGTTTAAAACACTGCAACTAATCAATCATTTATTTCAGCATAATACCTAACTATAACAGAATCCATATCATATCTTCAAAATGATTCACAATGCTGCTCGTCGCATTGTTAACTTCAACTATTTCAGTCCAATTAATAGTTGAGATCAGTATGGCTCTATTAACATAGGGTCGCCAATACGGCACTATTAATACAGGGTAACGTACAATAAGGATAACATTTACACTACCCATTTGATCAGCTAATCAACAATCATTTAAAGAAAAAAAGAATGGGAATGTTCAATTTTTATCGCGATAAAAAGGTTTTTTAATTTCGAAGAGAAATAGTTCTATGTTTTAATGCATCATAGTATTTCCGCAACAGAGTGTATGAAAAGAGTGTATGAAAAATATTAAAACCAAAATTAACGAAACAATTTCATCATTTCATTTCACAGGATTTACCAAATCCAATTTTGACGAAAATGAGAAAATAAAAAAGAAAACAGAGCCCGTCTGCCACTTCAACTATTAATAATCTGGTGGAATGGTAAGCAGAAGAATAAGACATTTTTTGGCACACTTTTCAGAATATCCACAGATTGATATACAATCGTACTAACAATAGGAGATGCACTGCACTGAGCTGAATACACGCGTATATTGAATTGAACAAGATAATTTACAACTCAAGATAATGACCGCAATCAAACTTCGTAAATTAATGTCAGATGAATGAGAAAATTTTTTAGTCTGGCTAAATAGTGGAATTTAGTCTGGCTAGATAGTAAAAATAGTCTCAACAAATTTCAAAACAAAATTTTTTGTAGAAAAGAAAGCAAAAAATTCTAATTAATACATTAATAATCGAAAAAGTATTTCTCCGATATACTAAAACAATTTGAAATTCCTTAGAAAACGTTCCCGTAGCATAAGATGATAGTGTCAAGCAAGGGAGAAGAATAAATCTGAACTCTAATATGAAGATATAAGATGGAAAGAAACCTTAAAATCCAATTTGCATTTGCATGTACACCATGTAGAAGATGTAAATGCATTAACATCATGTTTTGCTTTGCAATGAGTTCAGAAATTATTTGCTAAAATGAAATAAAAGCGGAAGTCTATAAAATATGGAAATTCTAAGAAAGTTACAAACTTTTCATAAAATAAGCACGATATTTCTAGATCACATAATGAAGAGATATATTAAGAATATACTAAATGACAACTTGATAGCGCTAATTTATTTAATAAGAAATGCTGAAAAGAAAATGAAAACAGCCAAAGTGAGTTGAAACAAAAGCAAATGTAATTACATTTATTTAATAAGAAATTTATTTAATAAGTGGTACCACAAAATAAAATGGAATAAGACAAGCAATTTGAATTACAATTAACAAATATTTTGCTGAATTCAATCTTTCGAAGTTCGACAGAACCCTTTACACGTTTTAGTTTTTGAAAGAAAGAACAAACTATAGCACATATAGTAAAACAGATCATGCCATGATCTGCAATCTCTTTCACAGGACAAATAGTTTTACCATATACAATGTGTTGGTATATTTCAGAAAAGAAAAAATAAATTAACCTTTATCTGTATAGTACTGATACTGATCAGATTGAATATGCAGAGGATGTCGTTCCAATAAATGTCTGTTATTAGTGATATAAGTATTACGTTCATGATAAACAGCTTCCGACTGACTGGCTTTCGCTGGCAAATTAGGTTGATCGTGTCGTGGATATACGCACACTGCGTTAGATGGATAGTGACGATGGTGATGAAATTGTAGATCCATGGTGCTACTATCACGAATGTCATAATCACCACGGTCGACAGCTGTCCGTGAATCATACCCTTCTCTCCTAGAATTAAAATCTACTTCATTAACAGATGTAAGAAGCTCTGAAAAAATTTAAAAAAAAACAAATTTCTCCCATTAGAATGTAAAAAATGCAGAACAGAGAAAGAAAATATTCTCCTTTGGTGCCGATAACTCTTTCCCGAACACCAAAACTGAATGTGTTTTTTTGTGATTTTTTTTTTTTTTCAACATGCAAATCCAAAGCATAACTGAAGACCTAAAAAAAATATTATCCATCATCTCTTACGTCCTGCAAAATTGTCGTCAATATTCTCTTCCTTTACTTCCATTCTTCCAACTTGATTTATATCGGAACAGTGATTTTTATTGGAAATCTCATAATCCAGTTATTCATTATGATGTCAAGAAAAAACGTTCCGACACTGGAGTATTACAGAGAAAATAAATACCATAATCGATGACATAAATCCAGCAGCTCGTCAGATTTACAATTTCGTAGGATAAATTTACAAGCATTATTATTCAAGATATAATTTCGCATAATTTCAAAGCAATTATAAACTGTGATGTACCTCACTGGAACATTATGATATTGCCGTTGTTGAAATGATGATGACATACTATCTTTGGTGTCGCCAACTCTTACACAGGTTACATTGTTCGGCAACTGAATCACTCGTGTTTCGATCTACAAAACATATTTCAGAAATAGAAACAATTTCAAATCATTCCTTTCTCATCCAATCTGCAGATTTAAAGGCATAAGATCCATACCGTAAAAGCATTGTAACGATACAGAAGTGAACCTATTATCAGCTGCTTCGAACTACTAAGTAAAAAAAAAAAAAAAAATCGACATAAGGCTGGCCACGTCCAATGGATGCTTGATTTCAGTTAATATCAGCTCCGTTTTAACATCAGCTAAGGGAAATTCTCAATTCAATAATAAAAGGAAAACTACGAACATACTGTAAAGAGCTTAACGTTATCATAATAAAAAGTATAATCCTACCTCAGTAACCCGTTGTTCAGGTTTATTTTCCTGTAATGCTGAACTGTTAGAATTGTGTTTACATTGTCTATCCAATGAGCTATTTCCTACATGAATCCCAAAAACCACGTCACCATTGATGGGCCTTTGATCATCCGTCAATTTCAGCTGTGATAAATCACTTGAACTTGAACTATTTGGTGTGGATGACGATACATTATCGTAAAGGCTACCACGATGTGTACGCCGAAATACTTGCTGGGAGATTTCATCATTATCGGATCGGCTTCTGCAAAACAAATAAAGGAAATGTAAACATGTTGATAGAATAATGCACATATTAAAGGTGTAAAGCTATTAAAAGCATGATTTTTCGTTTTGAAACAGGAATATGCAAATGACAATTAACTTATTTGCATATCTCATAAATTAAGTAACACTAGTGATGAAAATGCAAAGGTCACCGACAATGAGCCAGTAGGAACTAGAATTCGAAGATGTCCAGTCATAATCAGTGACACACAGAATATAATAGTATGGTGTTTGGCTAAATATGTAATATAATTCAACTACCCTTATTGATTCAAACTTAAGTTCTAAAATAAATATGGAACAAACCTAAATTTAGGTCTAATATGGTCTGATTCGAAAAGTTCAGATGAATAATCATCAGGAACAACTTCATTTCGTCTTAAGGAAATGAAATCATCAGGATTACAGAAGAATGAAGATGTAAATCGGGTAGGCGACTCAACCGCTGAAGAGAATGAATGCATAAAACCGGATGAACGTCCCAGCTGAACATAAGAGGATGAATCATCATAATCAACGGGTGGCTCCTCAGGCAGTGGTTGTTGGTATAGCTAAAATCTTCAGTTTGTAGAAAGTTGAATTTAAAACTTCAAATTTTAAAGCCACTTTCTCTCGACCATTTACTAATCGAGTGATAATAATAGGAAGATACTAGATTATTAAAGCAGAATTTTAGTATATTGGTTTTTAATTTGTCCAAAGCTTTCATTTTTCAATATTGCTCTGCTATTTACATATAAGAGAAGCAGAAGTTGAGCGCGAATTCTGCAGAAATTAGCAATATCATAAACTACGAACTACTAAAAAATAGCTCTGGCAATATGTTATCACCAACCGATTTGATTCATAAAAATTCACGATACCTTATGCATATTCAACAAACTAGGTAAATGATCACTGAATCCTCAAATTTCTAACTTCTTGTTTTCCTGTTGCTCCAAAATACTGCGTTGTCGCTACTGCTGCTGTTGCACTACTCGATTGGAAATTTGGTTGTTGCCTCTGTTGCCCTGCATACATGTTATAGGCTTTTTACTCAATTGCTTTTGTTGTTGCTGTGGCTGCAATTGGTGTCTTCTGGATTCGAATTCCCCTAAAAATGCAAAAATTTCAAAAAGAAAATGAATAATTGTAGTAAATGGAAACACCAACATTTCAGATCAATAAATATAGGTTACTATTGTTAGAAGCAGTTAGAGAATTGTTATATTTGATGCAGTTTCATCAGTAAGTGAGATAATGCAACTTTAACAGTAAATAATGGTAATATACATTATCCTATCATATATATTTCAACAAAAAGTTAAGTCAAGTTCGGTTCAACGATTATCGGTGATGAAAATTACTACCTTTGTTATTTATATGAGATAAAGATGATGCATGAATGGGTTGCATGGACGATGATGGGTTTTTTTCACTCATCCGTATATCGTGTTGTACTTTTTCAACATGGATAGGCTTCATGGATGGTGATGGATTTCTTTCACTCATCCGTATATTATACTGTACTTTCTCAACATGAATAGGTTTCATGGACGGTGATGGGTTTCTTTCATTCATCCTTATATCGTGTTGTACTTTTCCAACATGCATAGGTTTCCTGGACGGTGATGGGTTTCTTTCAATCATCCTTATATCGTGCTGCACTCTCTCAACAATTAGTGGCCCCGTAGTTTTCACTTCAATCCGTTTCGCATGCATTGGAGTGTGTTGTTGTTGGAGTAATTGCGAGCAACTTTCTCGACTTTCCGGTCGATGTATCGGTAGATTTGCATTGTTTGTTGTATCGATGAGAACTTTTGCTGTTTGTTGGTGTTCTCTTAAACTTGTATCTTTCACAGTACTCGTTGAAGAGATGCTTGACTGGGAATTTTCCGGCAGGGCAGGTTCCATACATCGAGGTGGTAATTGTGACAACTTGTATTTTGCGAGAGGTGTTGGGGATGGCGGCAACCGTTGTCGACGTATTCCAATTGGTGATCGTCCAGCAACGGCTAGAAAAAATTTTGAAAATAAATTTTGAATGAGCTCAACCTGAAACAACCGAAGCAAACGAAGTAAAGGCTATGCTTTATGGAATCTTAGAAGATTCGATGCAATTCCCCAATACTTCGAATTTGTAATCTGAAATCCGGAAGTTATTCTATGCTGCATTCACCAACGCTAGAACTTGGCTTATGATCTCATTACCTTACTGGATACCATAACTTACAGTTGGCACGTGAGCAACGACTCTGTATTTCAGCAATATCCAAACGAATATCAATCATCGAACGACTAAGGACAGGTCCAAATGGTTTCAGTGGTATTTCAGATGCATCACCGGTTTTTGGTGATGGTGGTAGCAACATCCGATCGTTCTAAAACATTGCAGATTTTATACCACAACCCTATTTTATATAGTCTTTTAATGCCAGCTCCTATTTTAATAAAAAAAAACTTTGTAAAATTAATTTACAATCATTTAAAGATGCGGAAAAATTAAACATCCGAAAATTTCGAAATAAAAAACGAACATATAACTTCCTGAGACAATCTTGTAATGATTTCATTGTTTCTTCATCAGAGAAACCAAAATCCTGAGCAATAACAGTTTGTATATATTCCATAAAATTCTCCATTTGTAATTTTCGCATGGTTTCTGGAATGAGTCACAAAAGTTTGTCAAACTTGGTAAGCTATTTCAAAACTAAATTTTATGAATATTTCGTTGTGTTGCCATTTCCCAGTCTCAAATTCCAAATAATTAGCTTG